ACAGGCTATAAACATTTACAAATGGGTCCTTCAGCCCTTAGAAAAGTAGACCCATTAACTCTATTTGCATGAATGCAGATTGCAGTATTGGACATTTAGTTGCTTTTACTTTAGCTCCTGTCATGATTTCTAGTTTTGAGATGGCTAAAATTTGTATGCAGTATACAGTTTTCTGTCTCCTATAACTAACATGTGGAACTCATGAGACCCCAGAGTTTAGCATGATTCAAAAAAGAAACTTTTTAAATGAAGAGAGAGTTAGCTTAGATAGGCTAAAAGAATAAGGGATATAAACCCTCATGCTTCAGGCATAAACCAATCACTGACTGATGGGTTAGGAAGGAATTTAGGAATCCTGTATCTTTAAAACATCTGGTACTGGCTGCTGTCAGATATGACACCAAAAGAGATGGGACACATGGCTATTCATATATATGCATATAGGGAGAGATGGTTGGTTCCCAGTTTGTGATGTAATTGTGCTTTCTATTCCTGGCCTGTAAAATATATTTTAATTAAAGTATAAAACAGTCAGACTTTTGGAGACACAAGCATTTTATTAACTGAAACAATGAAAGCAGAGCAGGAAGGAAGTGGGTGGGGGAGGGAGCGGGAGCAATGTTCACTTTTAAGGGCAGAGGAAATGCTTACATGGAATTGGTTCATGTCATTTAAAACAGGGAGGCATTAACCCGAAGTGTGGCTTCTGAAATTCTGGAATGTGGCCCAATTAGCCTCATCTTTGACTTAAAAACACAGTTTTCCTTAAAAGATGATACAGATACATATTTAAAAAAAAAAAAAACCCACCTAGAAACACACGTGGAAGGTGGAAATCTTCCATGGCTGTTGAACTGATCTCACGGCATGGACGCTGCCATTTTCAGGAAGTCAGGTCCATTGTGACATGGAGGGATTGATCTTTACCGACATGTGAAGAAAGCCCCCTCTCTAAACTGTGATTCAGGTTCTCTTTCTGTGTCCCTTCAAGGTTTGATGACAAATACACCCTGAAATTGACTTTCATCAGCGGGAAAACCAAACAGCCGAGAGAAGCAGAGTTCACCAAATCTATCGCTAAATTCTTTGATGACAATGGAACATTAGTCATGGAGGTCTACGAACCGGAAATCTCCAAGCTTCATGACAGTTTGGCCACGGAAAAAAAAACAAAATAACTATTCCAATGGCCATCTTCCTGCGTGGATCATACTAAATTAATACCAATAAATAAAGTGAAATAGCAAAGAATGTTACTTGCCTCTGTTTTTGTCCTGAAATCCTATTTAATTCTGGATAAAGCAGGATTTTTAAACTTGGATCCGAGATCTTGAAGCTAATGCCTAGCTACAGACAGTCTTGATCTGTATGGTTGCAGTGTTTAACCTGCCTTTCAGGTTGCTCTGTCACTTTTGAGATGATGTTGGATGACATTTGACCTATCAAAGACCTTTAGGAGGGAGGTTTTTGCTCAATGCTGTATTGACTTCCTCCTTTTTACCTGGCAGTGCTTTATAGTGTGTAGCTCTGTGCCATGCAGTGTTTGGGGGATTTTAGCATTCACATTTCGCTGACTTCATTTTATCCTCTTCGTAGTGAATCTTTGTTAGGAATTCAGGACAAAACCTTTATGTAAAACAACTCTGTCCATTCACAAACAAGTGTTTTCTTTATTTTTATATTTATCTGATTGGGGAGTGGGTGGGTGGGATCGATTTTTATATCAAATCCTTTTATCTATTGGAAGGGAAAAATATCGAGACTGCAAATATGCTACTTCTGTATGTTAGAGCACGAAATTTATCGACAAGGTGAAAAAATAAAAGCAATGGCATTTTTAGAGCTGTAAATGTCCTTCATGTTTGTCCAACTGGCATATTTCGTATTGAGATTCTGTTCAGTTGTGTCCCTGATATAAACTGTCATTTTTCTAAATGATTTTTTTTTTCAATAAAAGGAAAGAACAGATGTGAAAACAGTGTTGTGGTCTTCATGGGGGAGAGATTAAAGGAGCACAATCATCTTGAAGATCACATTCCTGTCTAGAAAAACATGGTACCCACTACCACGTTACATACATACCTGAGATCACTACACTGAAGAGTTAGACCCAGATCCACAAAGGAATTTACGTGCTTATAGCCCTTCCCTTGCCATTTTGTGTGGAGTTAAGTGCACCGCTGCTGTTCTTGCTAGAAATTGCTTAGGCACCTGCGTCCAAAAGAGGGGTTTCCAGCTGTGAATCACAAGCACAGATAGGTGCCTCCATCCAGCTTGGACATAGGTACCTAACTTTTGAGAGGGATGGGGCTTAGGACACACCCCTCTCATCAGTGTCTGCTATTGGCTAGTTTAGAAGACTACCCCCCAGTGTGCTGGCATTTGTGGGTCTCATTCTCAGGGCCCAAACTCTCCCCAGGCATAGCCTAGGCATCCAAGCCAGGGTTTGTGATGCCTGAGTCCCTTTGTGGATTTGGGCCTTTGACTCCCTTCCGTTTGTGCATTTGACAGGACTTTCTCGGGAGTCTGTTTCACTGTTTCTTGGAGACTTCAAGGGCGAAACTGCCCAACTGAAAAGACTTTTATAACCAGCAGCATCGTCTTGCAATGATTTGAAAAAAAAAAAAAAAATTCAGTTTCAGAACAATTAAGTTGTTGCCCTTTAAAGAACAGCAATGGGCTAAGACAGCCCATCTTGTCTTTGAAAACGAGTTGTCCTTGCTGTGATGTCATTTGGTTGGAAGGGACTTTGCTTTCTTCATGTTAAAAATGAGATTACATGACCTATTTGTATTGTGCCCGTTTGCATTGCCTCCAGGGTCCCAGTCAAGGATCAGGAGCGCACAGTGGTAGACGCCGTACAAAACGGAACAAAAAGATGGGCCTGACTGAAGAGTTTACAAATTTTGTCACCTGGTGAAGCAATGGAACGTGCCGGGAGTAGCGGAGAACAGCTTGTTCCTGTTCTGGGGAGTGAAGAGAGGTTAGCAGTGCAGGGGGCTGCTATGGGGACCAGTGTCATGTAGAGAGGAATTTTCACAAGCACTGGGCCTTAGCCAAAGTAATGGCAGCCTCCTTCAATGAGAGCTGTGATTGGCCAAGGCTGAGTGCTCTTGAAACCTCCCACCCTGACCTCGTATTTTTTTTGAGAGGAGGAAGTAGATGAGAAGCGGCTGTGTTTGTTCAGGCCGCTCTGAATTGAATGAGAATTGGAGATGGGTGAGGAACTCCTGAGAGCAGCCATTCCCGCACCCGCTGTGCCCTCTTGCCAGGTGCCACTAAGCTAGAGGAAGAGCATGCATGTGACAACATTCGTCTAAATGCCTTGTACGTCGGAGGGCTCTGTGCCTCCGGAACCTCTCAGGAAACCACATCCATCTGTTTTGGACAGAATAATGAAGCTGAGAAATCAACTCAGATAGCTTAGCCTCCAGCTGCAGGTCTGTTTACTGCAGCTGGTTCCTTCCAGGAGGAGTTTTACAGGGCTAGGGATCACCAGAGAGGGATATAAAGTCAAACTTCAGACCTTGTTATGGGGCTCCCTATCTAAGCATGGTCCCTGGAAACCAAGCACAGTGACACATGCTCTTCCCCTACCCTTCCTGCTATTGGGTCCCAGCGACCTGGCTCCATGCATGCTTAGCACAGCTGCAATTCACCCACCACTGACTCCGTTTATGATCACTGTGATAGCCCCTGCCAAGCCAGCACTAGCCTGACAGTGCCACACTGTTCTCTGCAGGTCATCAGCCGGCTCGGCTTGGCAATCACCTAAGCAAGCAGCAGGCTAATGAGGCGTATGTCTACACTGCAGAGAAAAACCCGTGGCTCTGAGTCTCAGAGCCCAGGTCAACTGACTCAGGGTCACAGGGCTTGGGCTGCAGGTCTTAAAAATAGCAGTGTAGACATTCCCGCTCGGGCTGGAGCCCAGGCTCTGAAACTCAACAAGGTGGGAGGTTCTCGGAGCCCGGGCTCCAGCCTGCGCGGTAATGTCTACGCTATTGTTTTTAAACGCCCGAGCCAACCTGACCCGGGCCCTGAGACTTCGTGCTGTGGGTTTTTCTTTGCAGTGTGAAAACCCTGAGAGTCAGTGTGAGACACACTAGGAAACTTAAACAGTCTTGCCATTTAGGATGCTTTCTGAAACTGCCATTATCCAGGCTGCTGTCCCAACTCCCAATGAGACCAAAACTTTTGGTTACTTATCTCTTATAACTGTTGTTCTTTGAGATGTGTTGCCCCCTGAGTAGCCAGTCATCTAGGTAAGTGTATACCTGCACCTGCCTCCTTCAGAGGAAGGCTGCTACCACCGACATGCATTTGGTGAACACTCGTGGGGCTGGCAACAGGCCGCAGGGAAGGACCGTGAACTGATAATGTTTTCAGTTGATCACGAACCTTAAGAAGCGTCTGTGAGCAGGGAGAATCGCTATGTGAAAGTACACGTCTTTCATGTAGAGGGCTGCGAACCAGTCTCCCGGATCCAGGGAAGGGATAATTGTATTGAGGGAGACCATGCGGAACTTCAACTTTACCATGAACTTGTTGAGTCCTGGCAGGTCTAGAATGGGTCTGAGACCCCCCCTTGGCTTAGAGGATTAGGAAGTATCAGGAATAGAATCCCCTGCCCCTTAGCTCCTGAGGAACCTCCTCCACTGCTCCTATGGTGAGGAGTTGCTCGTGAGAAGAGTCCCTGGAGAGGGATGGAGAAGGGGGGTGGGAAGGAGGGTAGGAGCAGAATTGGAAAGAATATTCCACTTCCACCGTGCGAAGAACCCAGCGGTCCGATGTTATTTGGGACCACGCATGGTAGAAGTGGGATAGACAGTTCAAAAAACACGGGGAAGGATCTGGTGTTGAGACAGGTGCTCCATCCTCGGGCACACTTTCAAAATGTCTGTTTTGAGCCCAACAAAGGCTTAGTCGGGCCCTGTCCCTGTCCAGACGGGGGATGAGAAGGCTTAGGCCTGCCATTCCTACCCCTGCACCTGTAGAATTCCTGCCTCGGCTGAGGAGGATACGGGTGCTGTTGGGGCTTAAAGGGTTTCGTTGGGTTGCCTGGGTGTATGCATAGCC